TCCACGTCGTCTTGCACCGACAAGAACTATGCCTGGATTCAGACGAGAAGAAATTGCATCAGACCTCTTTTACCACATGCGTGCGTCCTAATGCTTCTCAGTGCAGCTTTGTCTGTCTTTAATGTGTGCAAGCCCAGCTTTGTTTCTGCGCCACACGGACTCAGAGATAGTATCATCAGAGACCAGCTTGACTAAATGGGAGCGGCAAATTGACTGTAGCATTAGCCGAGAAAGGCCTCTATCAGATGCTCTGATAGGATCCCATTAAAGAAAGCTTGCAGATGAATATGATTAGCTCTTCGTTCCTCCTAATGGAAACATGTTCTGAAGAGGGAAGGAGATGAAATGTTTTGTAGTGATAGGACCTTTTTACCACTGATGGGATTGTTATAGCCTAATTTGGGTAGAAAGGTCATTAAAGTTCTTGGGAGGGACGATGAATGTGCTCTGTAAATATGCTCTCATTTATGGCTGCGGACCAGTGGTTCGCTGTGTGTGGGCAGGGCCTTGCTTTGTTGATGTGGAAAAACCACCCTCCACTGAAACGGCTTCATATCGGGCTTGTTTTTGCAGAAATCTGTGACTAATGAGCATAAGGTTTCATCTCGAGCTTCTTCTCCCTTTCCAAAATAAACCAAATGTTTTTTTCTTGTGTGTGTATTTGTGGTTTGTGTGGGCATGTGTATAAAACCATCCTGCGTCGTTACTTTCTTCAACAAATGGGTGACAAAAGTGCCTCATTAGATTATAAAACAACTCTTGTGAGCTAAAATTCAGAGGCAAAATTTTGTTCATTTTTGGAGACTCTTTGGTGCTGTTTGCCAAGTCCTTAAATAACAACTGGCACCACATTGGGTGTGTTTTTCAAAGTGGACTAATTTGATGCTGCTAGGTTAAATGTTTTGGGAGCTATTAAGACTGGAAGTACTTGCAAAGTGTCGACACAGCTAATCTTGCTCTTTAACGACATTTAATGACCAATAACATCAACTTTGTTTTGTTAAATGTTGCTCCTAAATACTATTTTAACTCGCAGCACTAATTAGTTCATCAGAGCACATGTGTCTGTTTTTTTTTACTGCTGAATATTTTCTTATTTTAAAATGTTTCCAAATCTATGCCGTGTTTGTTATACATGTTGCAGCCCTTTATGCGCTTATCGTTGGCTCTATTCTCTCATGCTTTCAAATCCAGCAGCAGTTACGAGATGACTGACTCAATCTGCACTCTGCAGAGTCTATGGGGGCCTATAATAAACCAAATGCATCCACAGCTTTCTGCCAAATGTGTTTCYATCCTAGTGTGTTTGTGTTTTCTTGTGAATGGCAATTATGATGGTAATAGAATAACAGAGAAAAAGGACTACTTAAAAAAGTTACATGAAAGTACATAGAAGGAAAAGATCAATATTTCTGAGTAAAATCACTTTTTTACAAGTAAAATTGATACTACTGATGTTCAACAACACCAATTTCCATTTAGATTCTGAAACTGAGTAACACACAGGCTTGTATTGGCGATTCTGATACTGATACATGGTGCAAACACACCTATTGTGTCTGGTGAATCTTAAAATAAGTAGTGTATTTTAGATCACCGCTTCATAAATAATGCAAGACATCAGAGTAATTTATTTATTTGTTTTAAACTCAGAAGTATATTGATGTAGCATCTAATACATCAAAACCAACCATGGGAGACAATCTTACAAAATATGTGAAAATGGTGTTTTAACCAATAAAAAATGAAATACTGTAAAATAATAGAACTATTAAAATAAATGATTATTTAATTATGAAGAATTACTATAAAAAAGGAAAACTTGCATCTTAATGTATGTTACATAAACATGCTAACATGAAAATACTGAACATGTAACATCTACAGACTGAGGCTGTGTCCAAACTCATGGTCTCCATCCTTTGGTCCAGATCCTTTGTCAACTGCGAGTGAGTGGCTGTGAATTTGGACGGTCTAGCCTTCGGCTTTTCTTCCCATCCTTACCCTGGCACATGTCCTGTCACCTAGCAA